TCCCGAGAGCTGAGCCACACTCAAGTGTCTCCCGCTGTTTCTGGGTTCATCAGCATCGCACCCTGGCCGTCACGGCCCTGCTGGGCTCAAATCGCAGCCCGCGTGACTCAGGACCACACTCCAGTGTTTGTCAGAGACGGGGCAGATTCGCAGGGCCGACTGCTGGCTGGAGTTCCGGAAGCAGCGCCTAGGCACCGTCCCTCCCTGGCCCGTTTCTCCCCAGGGGCTGCCTTGAGTCGAGCCCCTTACTGCTGTTCTCACGAGTAGGCAGACATGCGGAATGGCTGTGAGGACATTGCTGCCCGGGTGGCGTCTCACCTATGCCGTGGTTCCAACGTGGGGAGCTTTGGACCAGCCTCAGCCAGAAGCGGGGGCAGGCAGCCTGGACACCCACACATATGTGTGCACACACATGCCCATGCACGGCCCAGATACCACATGCACACACATGCGGGCTCGTGGATGGGCACCCAACACACACACATCAACCACACGGACACCCACACCCACTCCCCAACATGGGAGGTGTGAGCCCGAGAGCAGAGGCCCGGGCCAGGCCTGCACAGCCCCCGCCCTGCAGCACGGGCCCTCAGCCCCCACCCCTCCCCCAGGGCTAGCTTCCCGAGTTGGCCCCTTCTCTGGAAACTGCTCAAGAACTTGAGGGACAGGGAGGGGATGGAACAGGGAGGGCTGGCAGCACCCAGAGCCCACGGGCACAAACACCACAGGCCGCCTGCAGGGCTGGGCACACAGCAGGCCCGGCTGCAGGAGGAAACCTGACCAAGGCACAGGACAGCACGGGGACTGACAACCGCAGGGCCCCAGGCAGGGGTGGCCACAGCACACACCGGCTGGAGCAGCAGAGCTGTTACTGGAGAAATGTAGGGTTCTTGTCTTCTTGCAAGAAAGAATTCAGGCGTGAGACAGAGAGTAGTGGGAGGTAAAATAGCAAGGTTTATTAGGGCAGGGACATCCATAAGGATGGACGGGCACCTCTCCAGACAGAGCCTGAGAATGCGCAGTCACTCGGACTTGGGGGCGCGGCTACATGGTTGAGTGGAGAGAGTACACCTGGCCAGGCAGGCGGGCAGCTCAGCAGAGAGGCAGAGGGCTGAGCGTGCGGTCCGGTTGAGGCTGGGGTGGGGGGGTTTAAGGAGAAGGGTCTCTGTCTTCACACATCCCCTCCTGAAACACAGGATTTTATGGCTGTAAATACTAAGAAGCGGGCCGGCGCCGCGGCTCACTTGGCTAATCCTCCGCCTTGCGGCGCCGGCACACCGGGTTCTAGTCCCGGTCGGGGCGCTGGATTCTGTCCCGGTTGCCCCTCTTCCAGGCCAGCTCTCTGCTGTGGCCAGGGAGTGCAGTGGAGGATGGCCCAGGTCCTTGGGCCCTGCACCCCATGGGAGACCAGAAGCACCTGGCTCCTGCCATTGGATCAGCGCGATTCGCCGGCCGTGGCGGCCATTGGAGGGTGAACCAACGGCAAAAGGAAGACCCTTCTCTCTGTCTCTCTCTCTCACTGTCCACTCTGCCTGTCAAAAAATTAAAAATAAATAAATAAATCTTTAAAAAAATAATAAAAAAATATTAAGAAGCTCCTATCTGAGTTTTCCCCTGAAGGTATCAGACAGGAGGAGCCTAGCTGGCGCCATCCTGGGTTCAGAGGAAGGGTGAGCAGGACCCCCTGGAGAATGGGGATCCGGAGCAGGGTGTTTGAGATGCAGATACTGGGGTGCATCTGGGAGACTGTGGAAGATTTGTCAGGCAGAAGGGGCGGGGCCCCCACCTGGCAGGTTATCAGGTAGAAGGGGGCAGGGCAGGATGCGAATACCGGGCTGCCCCTGAAACATTATCGGGATGACTTTGAGATGCAGATGCAGATGCTGGACATAGATGTCTTTTCTCTAGGCCTTTGTCACACACACATAAGCTCATATCTGACTTCCTACCTAACACTATCACGTGGTCAGCCCTGCACCCAGGGCTCCCTGTCACCCTCCTGCCCCTCCGGAGGCCTGCAGGCTGGTGGGGAGCCAGGGCTCTTGGATCCAGCTGAGCCTGGTTTCCCTGGATCTTCCCACGGGCACTGGGCCACAGGAGCAGCCCACGGGCACTGGGCCACAGGGGTAGCCCACGGGCACTGGGCCACAGGAGCAGCCCACAGGCGCTGGGCCACAGGAGCTACCCATGGGCGCTGGGCCACAGGGGCAGCCCACAGGCGCTGGGCCACAGGAGCAGCCCACGGGCGCTGGGCCACAGGAGCTGCCCACGGGCGCTGGGCCACAGGAGCTGCCCACGGGCTCTGGGCCACAGGAGCTGCCCACGGGCACTGGGCCACAGGAGCAGCCCACAGGCGCTGGGCCACAGGAGCTGCCCACGGGCTCTGGGCCACAGGAGCTGCCCACGGGCTCTGGGCCACAGGAGCTGCCCACGGGCACTGGGCCACAGGAGCTTCCCACGGGCACTGGGCCGCAGGAGCAGCCGATGGGCACTGGGCCGCAGGAGCTGCCCACGGGTGCTGGGCCACAGGAGCTGTCCACGGGTGCTGGGCCACAGGAGCTGTCCACGGGTGCTGGGCCACAGGAGCTGTCCACGGGTGCTGGGCCAGGTTATTCTTACATTTTAGCTACTTCTAAAAATGCAGCAAGTGCTATTCTCTCTCCTTTTTCCTCGGGAGCACATGGCTGTCCACGTTGACGTCATTTTCTGAGAAATACCAGTGCGCGTGCGTAGCGTGTCTACACCTGGAATGGGCGGAGCAAGCCACTCTGCAGATGGGTGCTCCCCGTTGAGGCCAACACGCGTGACGCGGCGGCCCACACCTTGCTCCAGCATGGTCAGGTGCTCACCGTGGGGCACCTGCGCGCTGGGAGGTGCGGCTCGGGAGCTTTGTCTCCTGCCCTATGTGTTGGCTATGGAGTAACGTCCATGCAGACAGACACATGGAGCACGAGGCCGGCCCTGTGACTCCCACCAGCCCCAGGGAGGAGCCCAGCTGGTCCCCCAGACCCTCGGGGTCTCCTCGGCCTCCTCTGTCCCCGGAGTGAGACCCCTGGCCTCTCACATCCGTGCTGTTTCCCTGTTTGCAGTGCCGTGAGGGGGATTCTGGGTGGGAAAACGGAGTTAAAAGATCTGTCTTTTGGTGCAGGCTGTGTTGGAACCATGCAGGTTTTTCCCACAGTGTTCACTTTTCTGTGGTGTTCTGAACCCCTCAGGCTTCGTCTCGTTATTCGGTCTTCAGCTGGTTTTGGGGTTCGGCTCCTTCGCCTCACAGAGCGACTGGGGGGTCTCCATCTCCTGGAGCGGAGACGCGGGGTGGCCCAGCTGATTCCTTGGCCGTTTCTCGGACCTCTGCCGCCCCGCCGTGTGGGTTCCCACCCTGACTCGGTTCTTTAACATGAGAGGTGGTTTGGATTTCGAAGACGTCCATTTCAGCGGCGCATTGCGTAAGCCTGGCTTGCGATGCGCGGCGCATTATAAAACCGCTGAGTGCCACGTGCTGTCGGTTCTCACCCTCCTCTGAGCATCATCTTTCTCGGTTCGGTGATCAGCCCGTCAGCGGCCCATCTTCCCACAGTCCTCGGCGGCTTCGTGGTTTGTTCCGCAGTGCGGCTGTCTCGCCAGCTCCTGCTCACGGCTTTCGGTGAACTCCCTTCTACCTACTGGCGATCATATGTCCACTTTCCCCCCACTTATTAAGTGAGATCCTTACTCATTAAGTTCAGTCTTTTGTCTTCTAACATTGGAAATCGAGGCTATGGCTTTCCCCCAAACTACTGCTTTAGCTGCACACTACCTATGTTTATGGTAATATTTTCATCAGTATTAATTCCAAATATTTTAATGTTTTTATTCTTATTTGACTTGTAAGTTATTTCAAAGCCTTGATTTAATTTTCTGAAGATGGGGATTATGTTTATTTATCTTTTTGATTAACAGTTTACTCACAGACACAGGCTATGTTTGGTGTAATTTCCTTGGTGCTGTAAGTAGATAATGTAAATACTGTGTTTTGTGTGTAAACATTATGTTCTTTGAAAACCATACACATTCTCTAGTTGTCTGTAGCACATATATCATGTATAGTATCATATTATTACATACAATATCTCCTATGATATAGATAGTTTCATTTCAAGCTCTGACTGTAGTTTCATATCTTCTTTTTAAAAAAATTTTTATTTGAGAAGTAGAGTTACAGACAGAGAAAAGGAGAGAGAGAGAGAGAGGTCTTCTATCCACTGTCCACTTCTCAATTGGCCACATCGGCTGGAGCTGCACTGATCCCAAACCAGGAGCCAGGAGCTTCCTCCCGGTCTCCCAGGAGGGTACAGGGCCCAAGCACTTGGGCCATCCTCCACTGCCTTCCCAGGCCACAGCAGGGAGCTGGATCAGAAGTGGAGCAGCCGGGACTAGAATCAGCGCCCATATGGGATGCTGCACTGCAGGCGGTGGCTTTACCCGCTACGTCACAGCGCCGGCTCCCGCATCTCTTTTCCTGTGTTGTGAATGCCTTATGCATGATCCTGTAACACAATAATTGTGTGTGTGTGTGTGTGTGCTTTGTTGTTGTTGCGTGCTTTAGAATCTGGTTGGCTGCCAGTCATCCTGAGTTAAACAATTGAAATAGACACCCTGGGAATGGGTGTGGTTCCTCTGTTAGGTCCTCAACAGGTGGAGGGCGTTCGGATCAGTCTCTCAGACCACGACCTGGGTTTGGGTTTGCTTACGTGGTTGCGTTCCAGGTCATGCGCTGTGCGTGTTGGGGGAGTCCCCGCCTCCCGGGGGCGATGTCCTCAAGGCACCGCAGGGGTCTGCGCCCAGGCCTGCTCCTCACAGCAGGGGACAGCACCGTTCTTCTGCCCTCCACGACCACAGTCCCCAGGCTCACGAGGCCAGTGTGGGGACAGCACCCAGGAAGTCTCCGGGTCAGCTCCGCCCCACGCGGGAGGCTCTCTGGGGAGGGACCGCAGGGGCGTGGAATGAAGGAAAGTCGCAGCTTCAGGAAAGCGGTTTATTTGGCCTACATGGGCTTTGCTTTTCCCTGGCCTGAGAGGACCCCGGAGCCAGGACTCCCTGAGGGGACCCCCATGGTCAGGGAGGCATCCAGGTCATTCCGCTACACCCTCCCCCACAGTTCAAAGGAGTCGCTGGGCCCGGGTTCTGGGAGGGGTCCGTGGGTCAGAGCCGCCTGCCCGGGAGCAGCTGGCGTGGAGCTACTGTTTAGCAACAGGTGGGGGTGCTGCAGGAGACCGGTCTGCAGAGCAGCGACGGGCTGGGGGGCTGGCAGCACCCGGACGACGGGCAGGAGGCGGCCACGTACACCACGGGCCTGCAGCTCACGGGCGCACACGGGGACGACGGGCAGGAGGCGGCCACGTACACCACGGGCCTGCAGCTCACGGGCGCACACGGGGATGACTGGCAGGAAGGGGCCACATACACCACGGGCCTGCAGCTCACGGGTGCACACGGGGACGGCGGGCAGGAAGGGGCCACGTACACCACGGGCCTGCAGCTCACGGGTGCACACGGGGACGATGGGCAGGAGGCGGCCACATACACCACGGGCCTGCAGCTCACGGGCGCACACGGGGATGACGGGCGGGAGGGGGCCGTGCACACCACGGGCCTGCAGCTCACGGGCACGCAGCAGGCCACCTGGCTCCTCACGGGCACGCACACGGCAGCAGGCCTGCAGCTCACTGGCACGCAGAGGGATGACTGGCAGGGGCTGGGCGCGCAGCCCGCGGAGCAGCTGGTGTGGCACATGATGGCTGTGGCTGGCTGGTGTAGGGAGCGAGGTGTGATGCCTGCTGCCTCTTCCTCTGGGGTTTTTATACCGGGCCCAGCCCCAGGCCAGCAGAGAAGCGCCCTGCTGTCTTCCTCCTGCCTGTTTTCATGGCCACTCAGCTGCTCATTATCCCGGGAAACGCTCTCCTGTACAAGCCCCACGGCAAACAAGGTTGGCTTGGAGGCCGGTTCCTTCCGTAAACAGAAGATTCCGGTTTGACTCCATGTGGGTTTCATTGTCCGGGCCACTGCTGTGTCCACAGCATCACGGGCTCAACTAAACCACCGCATCCTGGTTTTTTGTTTTCTTGTTTTTCCTTTTTGTTTCGTGTTAGCAGTGAAGACGCTGGGGTAATCACATGTTTTGGATTTTTACTGTACCAACGCAGGTTGGTAACCTGTGTTCCGCGGCCACGTGTGGCCCACTGTTTCTGTAGGCAAAGTTGTGCCGGAGCCCAGCACACTGCCTGTTCCGTATCGTTTACATCTGCCCGCACAGCAGCCGTGAGGTTCTGGCTGGCAAAGCCTGCCCCGCCGGCCAGCCGCCTCTGCACAGCGGTGGTCTGCACAGACCCTTGGACGCCCCGGCGGGCAGGTGTGCCTGGGCCTCAAGAGCCGCCTGGTGGTGGGCAATGAACAACAAAGAAACAGATGCCCGAGAGAACTCCAGCAGGGCCGCGTCCCACGGAGGGAAAGATTCAAAAGACAGAGGAATACCAGGCCGGGGACTCGGGGAGGTGTTGGCCGGATCAGGCAGAGGGTGTGGGCGTGGCGGGGCACACTCTGGGTGCTGGGTGATGGTACAGGTGCACAGATGCAAGCGACCCTGCGCTGGGGGCCTGAGGTTGGGAGTTGGGAGCCACCCAGTGCTGGGGCTGGCGCGCGGCCTCTCTCCACTCGGTCCCTGGTGTGGAACGTGGGGCCTTGAGCGGTCACAGGGTCGTGAGGGCGGAGCCTGTGTAGTGGGTTCATCCTTTCCAGCAGGAGTGAGCCTTCGCTTGCCCCGACTGAGTTGGCCACGGTGATAGTGGGCGCTTACTCACCCACTTTAACTATTATGTGCCCCCAAACGCTTTTGTTTTCGTTCTTTTTTTAAACATTTATTTATTGGCCAGCGCCGTGGCTCAATAGGCTAATCTTCCGCCAGCAGCACCGGCACACCGGGTTCTAGTCCCGGTTGCCCCTCTTCCAGGTCAGCTCTCTGCTGTGGCCCGGGAGTACAGTGGAGGATGGCCCAAGTGCTTGGGCCCTGCACCCGCATGGGAGACCAGGAGAAGCACCTGGCTCCTGCCTTCGGATCAGCACTATGTGCCGGCTGCAGTGCGCCGGCCACGGTGGCCATTGGAGGGTGAACCAACGGTAAAGGAAGACCTTTCTCTCTGTCTCTCTCTCTCTCTCACTGTTCACTCTGCCTGTAAAAAAAAAAAAAGACTTATTTATTTATTTGAAAGTCAGAGTTACACATAGAGAGACAGAGAGGCAGAGAGAGGAGACACAGAGAGAGGTCTTCCATCTGCTGGTTCACTCCCCAATTGGCCACAAGAGCCAGGAGCTTCTTCCAGGTCTCCCACGGGGTGCAGGGGCCAAGCACTTGGCCATCTTCCACTGCTTCCCAGGCCACAGCAGAGGCCCCTGGCGCCCCCTCTTTTGCACACATCTTCCGCTCCTCCACCATCTGCCACGAGTTCAGCCAGCGCGAGGCCCTCACCGGAAGCCAAGCAGGCGCCGGCACCAGAACCATGAGCTAAAATAAACCACCAGGGTTTACAAATGAGCAGGGTCCGGTGCTCTGTTACAGCAGCAGAGAGCAGGCTAAGGAATGGAAGAATGTGCAGAGAGAGGCCATTCAGGGAAACGGGAAGAACCCTGGACAGCAGCAGAGACCACAAGCAGAAGAGAACGACACTGAATTAACAAACACGTTCCGAGGAAGTGAGGGACAGAACTCTCTAAATTTCACTTTTAGAAAAGTACCAGATACAGCTCTAAGAATCTTAGAAATCCCAGTGGTATTAAAAGAAAAACATGGGGGCCGGGGCTGTGGCGCAGCGGGTAAAGCCGCCGCCTGCAGTGCTGGCATCCTATATGGATGCTGGTTCAAGTCCCAGCTGCTCCACTTCTGATCCAGCTCTCTGCTAGCTCTCTCCCCAAATGGGGAGTGAACCAGCAGATGGAAGACCTCTCTCCGTCTCTCTCTCTCTCTGCCTCTCTGTCTCCCTTTGTGTAACTCTGACTTTCAAATAAATAAATAGATCTTTAAAAAAAGAAAGAAAAGAAACGCATTTCGGGGCACGTAGTAGTTAAAGTAATGAAAAGCAACACCAGCACACACTGAAAGCAGCTATGGCAGCGGATGCTTCCCTGGGGAGGGCCGGCGCCAGTAGAAACCGGGCAGGCCAGGCCGGGAGGCGGCGGAAGACGGGCACTGCCGGCCCAGGATCCTCCAGCTCTGGAAGCCCAGCAGCGAGGGCGCAGTGCAAACGCGTTCAGAGGAGCGGGCGCTGCGCCCTCCCCCTGGCCAGCGGCACCGCCACGCGGCTGCTGTCCGGCGCTGGGAGGCTGGAGACACTGCCGGCAGGAAGGCCCCGGGGTAAAAGCCACCCCTCCTCTCTTCCTGACAGCCTGGTCAGAAAATAGGTTATTTCTCCGTGAAAAATTAAACGGAACATTTAAAACTCAGTAGCGTGAACACACGGCCACACGCGGCTGCCCCCAATTCCCTTTGTTGTTAGGGGTGGCTGGAGCTGTGACCAGCGCCGGGGAGAGCCTGCCGGGGCTGCACTGGGACGCCTGCGGCCTGTCCAGGGGCCGGCGGGTCGCTCCGGTCCTCTGGCCTTGGTCAGCAGAGTTCTCAACGTGACTGCAGGGCCTGAGACCCAGTTAGTCTCCAGCTCTGCAGTGTAGTCCTCCCAGGTGCCCTCTGAGCACCACAGCGGCCCTGTTAGGATGCACACGGGTGCCGAGGGCACCTGGTGCAGCCCAGGGAGGGGACAGCACTGCCCTGAGGGGCGGCCGATCGCCTCCCCCGCAGGGCACGGCTGTGGCTGTGGCTGTGGCTGTGGCTGATGGACGCGGAGAGCTGGGCTGGAAGACACCTTGCCCACCTCCTGCCCTCGCCTGGAATCCCACGCCAACCTGCCTGCAGGGCTGGAGCTGCCGAGCCCTAGGCCGGGGCTCAGCCCCTCCCTCAACCTGCCGAGGGGTGGCCTGAGGCCCCGTGCCCGCTATGTCCCGCGGGCCCTCTGGGTGCCAGGTCCGGAAGCCGTGGCCGCGCCCCTCAGGTGCGCTCTGGATGCTGTACTGTGCACACCGCTCCTGCCTGACCCCGACAAGGGGAAGCCAGCTTGCGTGACTTGTTCTACCAGCATTGGGCTTTGTCATTCGCCTACCTGCAGTACTAAGAGTGGTTTACCACGTAGCGGTCCAATTCAGGGCCCTCCCGAGCCAGAAGCCACCGAAGCAGGCTCTGGGTTGCTTCCCGTAGGACCCACGTTGGCAGGCCCCAGGACCGACTCCCTCGCTGTGAGGCCAGAGTGTTTGTCACTTTCAAATATGCCCTGTTTCCAGTTGTGTCTTGTTGTAAAGAGAACAGTTTTTACTGAACTTCTATGAACAAGCGCATTGTCATAAAAAATAACAACACAAGGGGCTCCGGATTCTGTCCCGGTTGCCCCTCTTCCAGGCCAGCTCTCTGCTGTGGCCCGGGAGTGCAGTGGAGGATGGCCCAGGTGCTTGGGCCCTGCACCCCATGGGAGACCAGGAGAAGCACCTGGCTCCTGGCTTCGGATCAGCGCGGTGTGCCGGTCGCAGTGCACCGGCCGCGGCAGCCATTGGAGGGTGAACCAACGGCAAAGGAAGACCTTTCTGTCTCTCTCTCACTGTCTACTCTGCCTGTCAAAAAAAAACAAAACAAAACAAAAAACAAACAAACAAAAAAAAACCAAAAACAAAACATAACAACACGAACAGTTTTTGAGTTCTAGAGGAATCAAGTAGGGAGAAAAAAGGAAACGCTTTCATCTTGGTTTATAAAATCCTCTTCACCAGGCTGCTGCCAGTCACGGGCACTGAAAGGCATTTAAGCAAAGAATTGGCCCTGACTGGCGTCAGCAGTTTCACGAACCCATCAGTTGCTTTATCACCGTTCTGGAAATTTCTGTTTAGCTCAATGATCTTAAAAGTATCAGAAAACTATTTAAGAGTACTTGTTAGTCTTCTTAAAATATTTATTTATTTATTTATTTGAGAGGCAGAGTTACGGAGAGAGGGAGAGATGTTTTCCGTCCTCTGGTTCACTCCCCAAACGACCGCAGTGGCTGGAGCTGCTGATCTGAAGCCAGGAGCTTCTTCCGGTCTCCCACGTGGGTGCAGGGGCCCAAGGGCTTGACATCTTCCACTGCCTTACTGGGTGCATTAGCAGGGAGCTGGGTCAGAAGTGGAGCAGCCGGGACTCGAACCAGCGCCTACAGGGGATGCCGGCACCGGGCACTGAAGCTTAACCTGCTACACCGGCCCCATTTGTTAGTCTTTTTAATAAATCTATAAACTTTTTAGAGAAGAATTGAAAGTGTGGATGCCAAAGGACTTAAGATAGCTCAGAGAGTTTGGCCAGTGACAGGAGCTCAGCCATGTTGTGGTGTCCTGAGACGAGAGCTGTGAGTGACCGCACCGCACCAGAACCAGCGGCTCTCATCACTCCTAATCACTTTACAACTTCTGCGTCAGGAACACGCGAAAAAATGAACTCTTTCAGGAATTAGCTTTCCTACGGAACCAAAAACCTAACACCCACAGCTGCAGCATAAGAACTGCATTTGAACACACACAGTCTTTGTTTCTGCCTCCGTCACACAGAGCAAAGAAGAATCTCTGTGCTGTGACTGCCTCTGCGCGGGCTGCACTCCGGAAGATGGTTTAGAGAATGAAGAAACCAAACAGGGATTCGGTGTTTCGCCTGGTGGTTACGACACTTGCACCCCACTTCAGAGACCTGGGTTCAGTTCCCAGCTCCGGCTGCAGACTCCGGCTGCTTGCTA